CCCCCCCATTCTCCCTCTTTCCATCACCCCGCCCCATTCTCCCGCTTTCCATCACCCCGCCCCATTCTCCCTCTTTCCATCACCCCGCCCCATTCTCCCTCTTTCCATCACCCCGCCCCATTCTCCCGCTTTCCATCACCCCGCCCCATTCTCCCTCTTTCCATCACCCCGCCCATTCTCCTGCTTTCCATCACCCCGCCCCATTCTCCCTCTTTCCATCACCCCGCTCCATTCTCCCGCTTTCCATCACCCCGCCCAATTCTCCCTCTTTCCATCACCCCTCCTCATTCTCCCACTTTCCATCACCCCGCCCCATTCTCCCGCTTTCCACCACCCCGCTCCATTCTCCCGCCTTCCATCACCCTGCCCAATTCTCCCGCTTTCCATCACCCCGCCCCTAGAGATAGGTGCCTCTAGAGATTGTACCCCTAAGAGACGCGCCCATGGAGATAGGTGCCCATATAGATAGGTGCCCCTAGAGATAGGCGCCCCTAGAGATAGGCGCCCATAGAAATAGGCGCCCCTAGAGATAGGCGCCCATAGAGATAGGCGCCCCTAGAGATAGGCGCCCCTAGAGATAGGCGCCCATAGAGATAGGCGCCCAAAGAGATAGGCGCCCATAGAGATAGGCGCCCATAGAGATAGGCGCCCCTAGAGATAGGCGCCCATAGAGATAGGCGCCCATAGAGATAGGCCCCATAGAGATAGGCGCCCATAGAGATAGGCGCCCATAGAGATAGGCGCCCCTAGAGATAGGCGCCCATAGAGATAGGCGCCACTAGAGATAGGCGCCCCTAGAGATAGGCGCCCTAGAGATAGGCGCCCATAGAGATAGGCGCCCCTAGAGATAGGCGCCCATAGAGATAGGCGCCCATAGAGATAGGCGCCCCTAGAGATAGGCGCCCCTAGAGATAGGCGCCCATAGAGATAGGCGCCCCTAGAGATAGGCGCCCCTAGAGATAGGCGCCCCAGAGATAGGCGCCCATAGAGATAGGCGCCCCTAGAGATAGGCGCCCCTAGAGATAGGCGCCCTAGAGATAGGCGCCCATAGAGATAGGCGCCCCTAGAGATAGGCGCCCCTAGAGATAGGCGCCCATAGAGATAGGCGCCCAGAGAGATAGGCGCCCATAGAGATAGGCGCCCATAGAGATAGGCGCCCATAGAGATAGGCGCCCATAGAGATAGGCGCCCCTAGAGATAGGCGCCCATAGAGATAGGCGCCACTAGAGATAGGCGCCCCTAGAGATAGGCGCCCATAGAGATAGGCGCCCATAGAGATAGGCGCCCATAGAGATAGGCGCCCATAGAGATAGGCGCCCATAGAGATAGGCGCCCCTAGAGATAGGCGCCCCTAGAGATAGGCGCCCATAGAGATAGGCGCCCAAAGAGATAGAGATAGGCGCCCATAGAGATAGGCGCCCCTAGAGATAGGCGCCCATAGAGATAGGCGCCCCTAGAGATAGGCGCCCCTAGAGATAGGCGCCCTAGAGATAGGCGCCCCTAGAGATAGGCGCCCCTAGAGATAGGCGCCACTAGAGATAGGCGCCCCTAGAGATAGGCGCCCCTAGAGATAGGCGCCCATAGAGATAGGCGCCTCTAGAGATAGGCGCCCCTAGAGATAGGCGCCCATAGAGATAGGCGCCCATAGAGATAGGCGCCCCTAGAGATAGGCGCCCCTAGAGATAGGCGCCCATAGAGATAGGCGCCCCTAGAGATAGGCGCCCATAGAGATAGGCGCCCATAGAGATAGGCGCCCTAGAGATAGGCGCCCCTAGAGATAGGCGCCCATAGAGATAGGCGCCCATAGAGATAAGGCCCCTAGAGATAGGCGCCCATAGAGATAGGCGCCCTAGAGATAGGCGCCCATAGAGATAGGCGCCCCTAGAGATAGGCGCCCATAGAGATAGGCGCCCATAGAGATAGGCGCCCCTAGAGATAGGCGCCCATAGAGATAGGCGCCCATAGAGATAGGCGCCCCTAGAGATAGGCGCCCATAGAGATAGGCGCCACTAGAGATAGGCGCCCCTAGAGATAGGCGCCCATAGAGATAGGCGCCCATAGAGATAGGCGCCCATAGAGATAGGCGCCCATAGAGATAGGCGCCCATAGAGATAGGCGCCCCTAGAGATAGGCGCCCATAGAGATAGGCGCCCCTAGAGATAGGCGCCCCTAGAGATAGGCGCCCCTAGAGATAGGCGCCCCTAGAGATAGGCGCCCCTAGAGATAGGCGCCCCTAGAGATAGGCGCCCCTAGAGATAGGCGCCCCTAGAGATAGGCGCCCATAGAGATAGGCGCCCTAGAGATAGGCGCCCCTAGAGAGAGGCGCCCATAGAGATAGGCGCCCATAGAGATAGGCGCCCTAGAGATAGGCGCCCCTAGAGATAGGCGCCCATAGAGATAGGCGCCCCTAGAGATAGGCGCCCATAGAGATAGGCGCCCATAGAGATAGGCGCCCATAGAGATAGGCGCCCTAGAGATAGGCGCCCCTAGAGATAGGCGCCCATAGAGATAGGCGCCCATAGAGATAGGCGCCCCTAGAGATAGGCGCCCTAGAGATAGGCGCCCATAGAGATAGGCGCCCCTAGAGATAGGCGCCCATAGAGATAGGCGCCCATAGAGATAGGCGCCCCTAGAGATAGGCGCCCCTAGAGATAGGCGCCCATAGAGATAGGCGCCCATAGAGATAGGCGCCCATAGAGATAGGCGCCCATAGAGATAGGCGCCCATAGAGATAGGCGCCCATAGAGATAGGCGCCCCTAGAGATAGGCGCCCATAGAGATAGGCGCCACTAGAGATAGGCGCCCCTAGAGATAGGCGCCCATAGAGATAGGCGCCCATAGAGATAGGCGCCCCTAGAGATAGGCGCCCATAGAGATAGGCGCCCATAGAGATAGGCGCCCCTAGAGATAGGCGCCCCTAGAGATAGGCGCCCATAGAGATAGGCGCCCATAGAGATAGGCGCCCATAGAGATAGGCGCCCATAGAGATAGGCGCCCATAGAGATAGGCGCCCATAGAGATAGGCGCCCCTAGAGATAGGCGCCCATAGAGATAGGCGCCCTAGAGATAGGCGCCCCTAGAGATAGGCGCCCATAGAGATAGGCGCCCATAGAGATAGGCGCCCATAGAGATAGGCGCCCATAGAGATAGGCGCCCATAGAGATAGGCGCCCTAGAGATAGGCGCCCTAGAGATAGGCGCCCATAGAGATAGGCGCCCATAGAGATAGGCGCCCATAGAGATAGGCGCCCCTAGAGATAGGCGCCCATAGAGATAGGCGCCCCTAGAGATAGGCGCCCCTAGAGATAGGCGCCCTAGAGATAGGCGCCCCTAGAGATAGGCGCCCCTAGAGATAGGCGCCACTAGAGATAGGCGCCCCTAGAGATAGGCGCCCCTAGAGATAGGCGCCCATAGAGATAGGCGCCCTAGAGATAGGCGCCCCTAGAGATAGGCGCCCATAGAGATAGGCGCCCATAGAGATAGGCGCCCCTAGAGATAGGCGCCCCTAGAGATAGGCGCCCATAGAGATAGGCGCCCCTAGAGATAGGCGCCCATAGAGATAGGCGCCATAGAGATAGGCGCCCCTAGAGATAGGCGCCCATAGAGATAGGCGCCCATAGAGATAGGCGCCCATAGAGATAGGCGCCCATAGAGATAGGCGCCCATAGAGATAGGCGCCCCTAGAGATAGGCGCCCATAGAGATAGGCGCCCCTAGAGATAGGCGCCCATAGAGATAGGCGCCCTAGAGATAGGCGCCCCTAGAGATAGGCGCCCCTAGAGATAGGCGCCACTAGAGATAGGCGCCCCTAGAGATAGGCGCCCCTAGAGATAGGCGCCCATAGAGATAGGCGCCTCTAGAGATAGGCGCCCCTAGAGATAGGCGCCCATAGAGATAGGCGCCCATAGAGATAGGCGCCCCTAGAGATAGGCGCCCCTAGAGATAGGCGCCCATAGAGATAGGCGCCCCTAGAGATAGGCGCCCATAGAGATAGGCGCCCATAGAGATAGGCGCCCCTAGAGATAGGCGCCCATAGAGATAGGCGCCCATAGAGATAGGCGCCCATAGAGATAGGCGCCCTAGAGATAGGCGCCCCTAGAGATAGGCGCCCATAGAGATAGGCGCCCATAGAGATAGGCGCCCCTAGAGATAGGCGCCCATAGAGATAGGCGCCCCTAGAGATAGGCGCCCATAGAGATAGGCGCCCCTAGAGATAGGCGCCCATAGAGATAGGCGCCCATAGAGATAGGCGCCCATAGAGATAGGCGCCCCTAGAGATAGGCGCCCATAGAGATAGGCGCCCATAGAGATAGGCACCCATAGAGATAGGCGCCCATAGAGATAGGCGCCCATAGAGATAGGCGCCCATAGAGATAGGCGCCCCTAGAGATAGGCGCCCATAGAGATAGGCGCCATAGAGATAGGCGCCCCTAGAGATAGGCGCCGCTAGAGATAGGCGCCCATAGAGATAGGCGCCCCTAGAGATAGGCGCCCATAGAGATAGGCGCCCATAGAGATAGGCGCCCCTAGAGATAGGCGCCCCTAGAGATAGGCGCCCATAGAGATAGGCGCCCATAGAGATAGGCGCCCATAGAGATAGGCGCCCCTAGAGATAGGCGCCCTAGAGATAGGCGCCCATAGAGATAGGCGCCCCTAGAGATAGGCGCCCATAGAGATAGGCGCCCCTAGAGATAGGCGCCCATAGAGATAGGCGCCCATAGAGATAGGCGCCCCTAGAGATAGGCGCCCCTAGAGATAGGCGCCCATAGAGATAGGCGCCCATAGAGATAGGCGCCCATAGAGATAGGCGCCCATAGAGATAGGCGCCCATAGAGATAGGCGCCCCTAGAGATAGGCGCCCATAGAGATAGGCGCCCATAGAGATAGGCGCCCATAGAGATAGGCGCCCATAGAGATAGGCGCCCCTAGAGATAGGCGCCCCTAGAGATAGGCGCCCATAGAGATAGGCGCCCATAGAGATAGGCGCCCATAGAGATAGGCGCCCATAGAGATAGGCGCCCATAGAGATAGGCGCCCATAGAGATAGGCGCCCCTAGAGATAGGCGCCCATAGAGATAGGCGCCACTAGAGATAGGCGCCCATAGAGATAGGCGCCCATAGAGATAGGCGCCCATAGAGATAGGCGCCCATAGAGATAGGCGCCCATAGAGATAGGCGCCCCTAGAGATAGGCGCCCATAGAGATAGGCGCCCATAGAGATAGGCGCCCATAGAGATAGGCGCCCATAGAGATAGGCGCCCCTAGAGATAGGCGCCCATAGAGATAGGCGCCCCTAGAGATAGGCGCCCCTAGAGATAGGCGCCCTAGAGATAGGCGCCCCTAGAGATAGGCGCCCCTAGAGATAGGCGCCACTAGAGATAGGTGCCCCTAGAGATAGGCGCCCCTAGAGATAGGCGCCCATAGAGATAGGCGCCTCTAGAGATAGGCGCCCTAAAGATAGGCGCCCATAGAGATAGGCGCCTATAGAGATAGGCGCCCCTAGAGATAGGCGCCCCTAGAGATAGGCGCCCATAGAGATAGGCGCCCCTAGAGATAGGCGCCCATAGAGATAGGCGCCCATAGAGATAGGCGCCCTAGAGATAGGCGCCCATAGAGATAGGCGCCCATAGAGATAGGCGCCCAAAGAGATAGGCGCCCCTAGAGATAGGCGCCCCTAGAGATAGGCGCCCATAGAGATAGGCGCCCATAGAGATAGGCGCCCCTAGAGATAGGCGCCCATAGAGATAGGCGCCCTAGAGATAGGCGCCCATAGAGATAGGCGCCCCTAGAGATAGGCGCCCATAGAGATAGGCGCCCATAGAGATAGGCGCCCCTAGAGATAGGCGCCCCTAGAGATAGGCGCCCCTAGAGATAGGCGCCACTAGAGATAGGCGCCCCTAGAGATAGGCGCCCCTAGAGATAGGCGCCCATAGAGATAGGCGCCTCTAGAGATAGGCGCCCCTAGAGATAGGCGCCCATAGAGATAGGCGCCCATAGAGATAGGCGCCCCTAGAGATAGGCGCCCCTAGAGATAGGCGCCCATAGAGATAGGCGCCCCTAGAGATAGGCGCCCATAGAGATAGGCGCCCATAGAGATAGGCGCCCCTAGAGATAGGCGCCCATAGAGATAGGCGCCCATAGAGATAGGCGCCCATAGAGATAGGCGCCCTAGAGATAGGCGCCCCTAGAGATAGGCGCCCATAGAGATAGGCGCCCATAGAGATAGGCGCCCCTAGAGATAGGCGCCATAGAGATAGGCGCCCCTAGAGATAGGCGCCCATAGAGATAGGCGCCCCTAGAGATAGGCGCCCATAGAGATAGGCGCCCATAGAGATAGGCGCCCATAGAGATAGGCGCCCCTAGAGATAGGCGCCCATAGAGATAGGCGCCCATAGAGATAGGCGCCCATAGAGATAGGCGCCCATAGAGATAGGCGCCCATAGAGATAGGCGCCCATAGAGATAGGCGCCCCTAGAGATAGGCGCCCATAGAGATAGGCGCCACTAGAGATAGGCGCCCCTAGAGATAGGCGCCCTAGAGATAGGCGCCCATAGAGATAGGCGCCCCTAGAGATAGGCGCCCATAGAGATAGGCGCCCATAGAGATAGGCGCCCCTAGAGATAGGCGCCCCTAGAGATAGGCGCCCATAGAGATAGGCGCCCATAGAGATAGGCGCCCATAGAGATAGGCGCCCCTAGAGATAGGCGCCCTAGAGATAGGCGCCCATAGAGATAGGCGCCCCTAGAGATAGGCGCCCATAGAGATAGGCGCCCCTAGAGATAGGCGCCCATAGAGATAGGCGCCCATAGAGATAGGCGCCCCTAGAGATAGGCGCCCCTAGAGATAGGCGCCCATAGAGATAGGCGCCCATAGAGATAGGCGCCCATAGAGATAGGCGCCCATAGAGATAGGCGCCCATAGAGATAGGCGCCCTAGAGATAGGCGCCCCTAGAGATAGGCGCCCATAGAGATAGGCGCCTAGAGATAGGCGCCCCTAGAGATAGGCGCCCCTAGAGATAGGCGCCCATAGAGATAGGCGCCCCTAGAGATAGGCGCCCATAGAGATAGGCGCCCATAGAGATAGGCGCCCCTAGAGATAGGCGCCCATAGAGATAGGCGCCCATAGAGATAGGCGCCCATAGAGATAGGCGCCCTAGAGATAGGCGCCCCTAGAGATAGGCGCCCATAGAGATAGGCGCCCATAGAGATAGGCGCCCCTAGAGATAGGCGCCCATAGAGATAGGCGCCCTAGAGATAGGCGCCCATAGAGATAGGCGCCCCTAGAGATAGGCGCCCATAGAGATAGGCGCCCATAGAGATAGGCGCCCTAGAGATAGGCGCCCCTAGAGATAGGCGCCCATAGAGATAGGCGCCCATAGAGATAGGCGCCCATAGAGATAGGCGCCCATAGAGATAGGCGCCCATAGAGATAGGCGCCCATAGAGATAGGCGCCCCTAGAGATAGGCGCCCATAGAGATAGGCGCCACTAGAGATAGGCGCCCCTAGAGATAGGCGCCCTAGAGATAGGCGCCCATAGAGATAGGCGCCCCTAGAGATAGGCGCCCATAGAGATAGGCGCCCATAGAGATAGGCGCCCCTAGAGATAGGCGCCCCTAGAGATAGGCGCCCATAGAGATAGGCGCCCATAGAGATAGGCGCCCATAGAGATAGGCGCCCATAGAGATAGGCGCCCATAGAGATAGGCGCCCATAGAGATAGGCGCCCCTAGAGATAGGCGCCCATAGAGATAGGCGCCCATAGAGATAGGCGCCCATAGAGATAGGCGCCCATAGAGATAGGCGCCCATAGAGATAGGCGCCCATAGAGATAGGCGCCCATAGAGATAGGCGCCCATAGAGATAGGCGCCCATAGAGATAGGCGCCCATAGAGATAGGCGCCCCTAGAGATAGGCGCCCATAGAGATAGGCGCCACTAGAGATAGGCGCCCTAGAGATAGGCGCCCATAGAGATAGGCGCCCATAGAGATAGGCGCCCATAGAGATAGGCGCCCATAGAGATAGGCGCCCATAGAGATAGGCGCCCATAGAGATAGGCGCCCCTAGAGATAGGCGCCCATAGAGATAGGCGCCCCTAGAGATAGGCGCCCCTAGAGATAGGCGCCCTAGAGATAGGCGCCCCTAGAGATAGGCGCCCCTAGAGATAGGCGCCCATAGAGATAGGCGCCCATAGAGATAGGCGCCCATAGAGATAGGCGCCCCTAGAGATAGGCGCCCATAGAGATAGGCGCCCATAGAGATAGGCGCCCATAGAGATAGGCGCCCATAGAGATAGGCGCCCATAGAGATAGGCGCCCATAGAGATAGGCGCCCCTAGAGATAGGCGCCCATAGAGATAGGCGCCCCTAGAGATAGGCGCCCCTAGAGATAGGCGCCCTAGAGATAGGCGCCCATAGAGATAGGCGCCCCTAGAGATAGGCGCCCATAGAGATAGGCGCCCTAGAGATAGGCGCCCTAGAGATAGGCGCCCATAGAGATAGGCGCCCATAGAGATAGGCGCCCCTAGAGATAGGCGCCCATAGAGATAGGCGCCCTAGAGATAGGCGCCCATAGAGATAGGCGCCCCTAGAGATAGGCGCCCATAGAGATAGGCGCCCATAGAGATAGGCGCCCATAGAGATAGGCGCCCATAGAGATAGGCGCCCATAGAGATAGGCGCCCATAGAGATAGGCGCCCATAGAGATAGGCGCCTATAGAGATAGGCGCCCTAGAGATAGGCGCCCCTAGAGATAGGCGCCCATAGAGATAGGCGCCCCTAGAGATAGGCGCCCATAGAGATAGGCGCCCATAGAGATAGGCGCCCCTAGAGATAGGCGCCCATAGAGATAGGCGCCCATAGAGATAGGCGCCCATAGAGATAGGCGCCCTAGAGATAGGCGCCCCTAGAGATAGGCGCCCATAGAGATAGGCGCCCATAGAGATAGGCGCCCCTAGAGATAGGCGCCCATAGAGATAGGCGCCCTAGAGATAGGCGCCCATAGAGATAGGCGCCCCTAGAGATAGGCGCCCATAGAGATAGGCGCCCATAGAGATAGGCGCCCCTAGAGATAGGCGCCCCTAGAGATAGGCGCCCATAGAGATAGGCGCCCATAGAGATAGGCGCCCATAGAGATAGGCGCCCATAGAGATAGGCGCCCATAGAGATAGGCGCCCATAGAGATAGGCGCCCCTAGAGATAGGCGCCCATAGAGATAGGCGCCACTAGAGATAGGCGCCCCTAGAGATAGGCGCCCTAGAGATAGGCGCCCATAGAGATAGGCGCCCCTAGAGATAGGCGCCCATAGAGATAGGCGCCCTAGAGATAGGCGCCCCTAGAGATAGGCGCCCATAGAGATAGGCGCCCATAGAGATAGGCGCCCCTAGAGATAGGCGCCCATAGAGATAGGCGCCCTAGAGATAGGCGCCCATAGAGATAGGCGCCCCTAGAGATAGGCGCCCATAGAGATAGGCGCCCATAGAGATAGGCGCCCATAGAGATAGGCGCCCATAGAGATAGGCGCCCATAGAGATAGGCGCCCATAGAGATAGGCGCCCATAGAGATAGGCGCCCATAGAGATAGGCGCCCATAGAGATAGGCGCCCATAGAGATAGGCGCCCCTAGAGATAGGCGCCCATAGAGATAGGCGCCCATAGAGATAGGCGCCCCTAGAGATAGGCGCCCTAGAGATAGGCGCCCATAGAGATAGGCGCCCATAGAGATAGGCGCCCCTAGAGATAGGCGCCCATAGAGATAGGCGCCCATAGAGATAGGCGCCCTAGAGATAGGCGCCCTAGAGATAGGCGCCCATAGAGATAGGCGCCCATAGAGATAGGCGCCCATAGAGATAGGCGCCCATAGAGATAGGCGCCCATAGAGATAGGCGCCCATAGAGATAGGCGCCCCTAGAGATAGGCGCCCATAGAGATAGGCGCCACTAGAGATAGGCGCCCTAGAGATAGGCGCCCTAGAGATAGGCGCCCATAGAGATAGGCGCCCCTAGAGATAGGCGCCCATAGAGATAGGCGCCCCTAGAGATAGGCGCCCCTAGAGATAGGCGCCCATAGAGATAGGCGCCCATAGAGATAGGCGCCCCTAGAGATAGGCGCCTATAGAGATAGGCGCCCTAGAGATAGGCGCCCATAGAGATAGGCGCCCCTAGAGATAGGCGCCCATAGAGATAGGCGCCCATAGAGATAGGCGCCCATAGAGATAGGCGCCCCTAGAGATAGGCGCCCATAGAGATAGGCGCCCATAGAGATAGGCGCCCATAGAGATAGGCGCCCATAGAGATAGGCGCCCATAGAGATAGGCGCCCCTAGAGATAGGCGCCCATAGAGATAGGCGCCCATAGAGATAGGCGCCCCTAGAGATAGGCGCCCCTAGAGATAGGCGCCCATAGAGATAGGCGCCCATAGAGATAGGCGCCCATAGAGATAGGCGCCCATAGAGATAGGCGCCCATAGAGATAGGCGCCCATAGAGATAGGCGCCCCTAGAGATAGGCGCCCATAGAGATAGGCGCCCTAGAGATAGGCGCCCCTAGAGATAGGCGCCCTAGAGATAGGCGCCCATAGAGATAGGCGCCCCTAGAGATAGGCGCCCATAGAGATAGGCGCCCCTAGAGATAGGCGCCCCTAGAGATAGGCGCCCATAGAGATAGGCGCCCATAGAGATAGGCGCCCTAGAGATAGGCGCCCATAGAGATAGGCGCCCTAGAGATAGGCGCCCATAGAGATAGGCGCCCCTAGAGATAGGCGCCCATAGAGATAGGCGCCCATAGAGATAGGCGCCCATAGAGATAGGCGCCCCTAGAGATAGGCGCCCATAGAGATAGGCGCCCATAGAGATAGGCGCCCATAGAGATAGGCGCCCATAGAGATAGGCGCCCATAGAGATAGGCGCCCATAGAGATAGGCGCCCCTAGAGATAGGCGCCCATAGAGATAGGCGCCACTAGAGATAGGCGCCCCTAGAGATAGGCGCCCTAGAGATAGGCGCCCATAGAGATAGGCGCCCCTAGAGATAGGCGCCCATAGAGATAGGCGCCCATAGAGATAGGCGCCCCTAGAGATAGGCGCCCCTAGAGATAGGCGCCCATAGAGATAGGCGCCCATAGAGATAGGCGCCCATAGAGATAGGCGCCCATAGAGATAGGCGCCCATAGAGATAGGCGCCCATAGAGATAGGCGCCCCTAGAGATAGGCGCCCATAGAGATAGGCGCCCTAGAGATAGGCGCCCCTAGAGATAGGCGCCCTAGAGATAGGCGCCCATAGAGATAGGCGCCCCTAGAGATAGGCGCCCATAGAGATAGGCGCCCCTAGAGATAGGCGCCCCTAGAGATAGGCGCCCATAGAGATAGGCGCCCATAGAGATAGGCGCCCCTAGAGATAGGCGCCCATAGAGATAGGCGCCCTAGAGATAGGCGCCCATAGAGATAGGCGCCCCTAGAGATAGGCGCCCATAGAGATAGGCGCCCATAGAGATAGGCGCCCATAGAGATAGGCGCCCCTAGAGATAGGCGCCCATAGAGATAGGCGCCCATAGAGATAGGCGCCCATAGAGATAGGCGCCCATAGAGATAGGCGCCCCTAGAGATAGGCGCCCATAGAGATAGGCGCCCTAGAGATAGGCGCCCATAGAGATAGGCGCCCATAGAGATAGGCGCCCATAGAGATAGGCGCCCCTAGAGATAGGCGCCCATAGAGATAGGCGCCCATAGAGATAGGCGCCCATAGAGATAGGCGCCCTAGAGATAGGCGCCCCTAGAGATAGGCGCCCATAGAGATAGGCGCCCTAGAGATAGGCGCCCATAGAGATAGGCGCCCCTAGAGATAGGCGCCCATAGAGATAGGCGCCCATAGAGATAGGCGCCCATAGAGATAGGCGCCCCTAGAGATAGGCGCCCATAGAGATAGGCGCCCATAGAGATAGGCGCCCATAGAGATAGGCGCCCATAGAGATAGGCGCCCATAGAGATAGGCGCCCATAGAGATAGGCGCCCCTAGAGATAGGCGCCCATAGAGATAGGCGCCACTAGAGATAGGCGCCCCTAGAGATAGGCGCCCTAGAGATAGGCGCCCATAGAGATAGGCGCCCCTAGAGATAGGCGCCCATAGAGATAGGCGCCCATAGAGATAGGCGCCCCTAGAGATAGGCGCCCCTAGAGATAGGCCCCCATAGAGATAGGCGCCCAAAGAGATAGGCGCCCATAGAGATAGGCGCCCATAGAGATAGGCGCCCATAGAGATAGGCGCCCATAGAGATAGGCGCCCCTAGAGATAGGCGCCCATAGAGATAGGCGCCCAAAGAGATAGGCGCCCATAGAGATAGGCGCCCATAGAGATAGGCGCCCATAGAGATAGGCGCCCATAGAGATAGGCGCCCATAGAGATAGGCGCCCATAGAGATAGGCGCCCATAGAGATAGGCGCCCATAGAGATAGGCGCCCCTAGAGATAGGCGCCCATAGAGATAGGCGCCCATAGAGATAGGCGCCCCTAGAGATAGGCGCCTATAGAGATAGGCGCCCTAGAGATAGGCGCCCATAGAGATAGGCGCCCCTAGAGATAGGCGCCCATAGAGATAGGCGCCCATAGAGATAGGCGCCCCTAGAGATAGGCGCCCCTAGAGATAGGCGCCCATAGAGATAGGCGCCCAAAGAGATAGGCGCCCATAGAGATAGGCGCCCATAGAGATAGGCGCCCATAGAGATAGGCGCCCATAGAGATAGGCGCCCCTAGAGATAGGCGCCCATAGAGATAGGCGCCACTAGAGATAGGCGCCCCTAGAGATAGGCGCCCATAGAGATAGGCGCCCCTAGAGATAGGCGCCCATAGAGATAGGCGCCCATAGAGATAGGCGCCCATAGAGATAGGCGCCCCTAGAGATAGGCGCCCATAGAGATAGGCGCCCCTAGAGATAGGCGCCCCTAGAGATAGGCGCCCCTAGAGATAGGCGCCCCTAGAGATAGGCGCCCCTAGAGATAGGCGCCACTAGAGATAGGTGCCCCTAGAGATAGGCGCCCCTAGAGATGGGCGCCCATAGAGATAGGCGCCTCTAGAGATAGGCGCCCCTAAAGAGAGGCGCCCATAGAGATAGGCGCCTATAGAGATAGGCGCCCCTAGAGATAGGCGCCCCTAGAGATAGGCGCCCATAGAGATAGGCGCCCATAGAGATAGGCGCCCATAGAGATAGGCGCCCATAGAGATAGGCGCCCCTAGAGATAGGCGCCCATAGAGATAGGCGCCCATAGAGATAGGCGCCCATAGAGATAGGCCCTCTAGAGATAGGCGCCCCTAGAGAGAGGCGCCCATAGAGATAGGCGCCCATAGAGATAGGCGCCCCTAGAGATAGGCGCCCATAGAGATAGGCGCCCTAGAGATAGGCGCCCATAGAGATAGGCGCCCCTAGAGATAGGCGCCCATAGAGATAGGCGCCCATAGAGATAGGCGCCCCTAGAGATAGGCGCCCCTAGAGATAGGCGCCCATAGAGATAGGCGCCCATAGAGATAGGCGCCCATAGAGATAGGCGCCCATAGAGATAGGCGCCCATAGAGATAGGCGCCCATAGAGATAGGCGCCCCTAGAGAGAAGCGCCCATAGAGATAGGCGCCACTAGAGATAGGCGCCCCTAGAGATAGGCGCCCTAGAGATAGGCGCCCATAGAGATAGGCGCCCCTAGAGATAGGCGCCCATAGAGATAGGCGCCCATAGAGATAGGCGCCCCTAGAGATAGGCGCCACTAGAGATAGGCGCCCCTAGAGATAGGCGCCCTAGAGATAGGCGCCCATAGAGATAGGCGCCCCTAGAGATAGGCGCCCATAGAGATAGGCGCCCATAGAGATAGGCGCCCCTAGAGATAGGCGCCCCTAGAGATAGGCGCCCATAGAGATAGGCGCCCATAGAGATAGGCGCCCATAGAGATAGGCGCCCATAGAGATAGGCGCCCATAGAGATAGGCGCCCATAGAGATAGGCGCCCCTAGAGATAGGCGCCCATAGAGATAGGCGCCACTAGAGATAGGCGCCCCTAGAGATAGGCGCCCATAGAGATAGGCGCCCATAGAGATAGGCGCCCATAGAGATAGGCGCCCATAGAGATAGGCGCCCATAGAGATAGGCGCCCCTAGAGATAGGCGCCCCTAGAGATAGGCGCCCATAGAGATAGGCGCCCATAGAGATAGGCGCCCATAGAGATAGGCGCCCCTAGAGATAGGCGCCCATAGAGATAGGCGCCCCTAGAGATAGGCGCCCCTAGAGATAGGCGCCCTAGAGATAGGCGCCCCTAGAGATAGGCGCCCCTAGAGATAGGCGCCCATAGAGATAGGCGCCCCTAGAGATAGGCGCCCCTAGAGATAGGCGCCCATAGAGATAGGCGCCTCTAGAGATAGGCGCCCCTAAAGATAGGCGCCCATAGAGATAGGCGCCCATAGAGATAGGCGCCCCTAGAGATAGGCGCCCCTAGAGATAGGCGCCCATAGAGATAGGCGCCCATAGAGATAGGCGCCCATAGAGATAGGCGCCCCTAGAGATAGGCGCCCCTAGAGATAGGCGCCCATAGAGATAGGCGCCTAAGAGATAGGCGCCCTATAGATAGGCGCCCCTAGAGAGAGGCGCCATAGAGATAGGCGCCCATAGAGATAGGCGCCCCTAGAGATAGGCGCCCTTAGAGATAGGCGCCCATAAGATAGGCGCCCTAGAGATAGGCGCCCATAGAGATAGGCGCCCCTAGAGATAGGCGCCCATAGAGATAGGCGCCCATAGAGATAGGCGCCCCTAGAGATAGGCGCCCCTAGAGATAGGCGCCCATAGAGATAGGCGCCCATAGAGATAGGCGCCCATAGAGATAGGCGCCCATAGAGATAGGCGCCCATAGAGATAGGCGCCCCTAGAGATAGGCGCCCATAGAGATAGGCGCCCCTAGAGATAGGCGCCCCTAGAGATAGGCGCCCCTAGAGATAGGCGCCCATAGAGATAGGCGCCCATAGAGATAGGCGCCCATAGAGATAGGCGCCCCTAGAGATAGGCGCCCATAGAGATAGGCGCCCCTAGAGATAGGCGCCCCTAGAGATAGGCGCCCCTAGAGATAGGCGCCCTAGAGATAGGCGCCCCTAGAGATAGGCGCCCCTAGAGATAGGCGCCCCTAGAGATAGGCGCCCCTAGAGATAGGCGCCCATAGAGATAGGCGCCCTAGAGATAGGCGCCCCTAGAGATAGGCGCCCATAGAGATAGGCGCCCATAGAGATAGGCGCCACTAGAGATAGGCGCCCCTAGAGATAGGCGCCCATAGAGATAGGCGCCCCTAGAGATAGGCGCCCATAGAGATAGGCGCCCATAGAGATAGGCGCCCATAGAGATAGGCGCCCCTAGAGATAGGCGCCCATAGAGATAGGCGCCCCTAGAGATAGGCGCCCTAGAGATAGGCGCCCCTAGAGATAGGCGCCCCTAGAGATAGGCGCCCCTAGAGATAGGCGCCCTAGAGATAGGCGCCCTAGAGATAGGCGCCCCTAGAGATAGGCGCCCATAGAGATAGGCGCCTCTAGAGATAGGCGCCCCTAGAGAGAGGCGCCCATAGAGATAGGCGCCCATAGAGATAGGCGCCCCTAGAGATAGGCGCCCCTAGAGATAGGCGCCCATAGAGATAGGCGCCCCTAGAGATAGGCGCCCATAGAGATAGGCGCCCATAGAGATAGGCGCCCCTAGAGATAGGCGCCCATAGAGATAGGCGCCCATAGAGATAGGCGCCCAAAGAGATAGGCGCCCCTAGAGATAGGCGCCCCTAGAGATAGGCGCCCATAGAGATAGGCGCCCATAGAGATAGGCGCCCCTAGAGATAGGCGCCCATAGAGATAGGCGCCCTAGAGATAGGCGCCCATAGAGATAGGCGCCCCTAGAGATAGGCGCCCATAGAGATAGGCGCCCATAGAGATAGGCGCCCCTAGAGATAGGCGCCCCTAGAGATAGGCGCCCATAGAGATAGGCGCCCATAGAGATAGGCGCCCATAGAGATAGGCGCCCATAGAGATAGGCGCCCATAGAGATAGGCGCCCATAGAGATAGGCGCCCATAGAGATAGGCGCCCATAGAGATAGGCGCCACTAGAGATAGGCGCCCCTAGAGATAGGCGCCCTAGAGATAGGCGCCCATAGAGATAGGCGCCCCTAGAGATAGGCGCCCATAGAGATAGGCGCCCATAGAGATAGGCGCCCCTAGAGATAGGCGCCACTAGAGATAGGCGCCCCTAGAGATAGGCGCCCTAGAGATAGGCGCCCATAGAGATAGGCGCCCCTAGAGATAGGCGCCCATAGAGATAGGCGCCCATAGAGATAGGCGCCCCTAGAGATAGGCGCCCCTAGAGATAGGCGCCCCTAGAGATAGGCGCCCATAGAGATAGGCGCCCATAGAGATAGGCGCCCATAGAGATAGGCGCCCATAGAGATAGGCGCCCATAGAGATAGGCGCCCCTAGAGATAGGCGCCCATAGAGATAGGCGCCACTAGAGATAGGCGCCCCTAGAGATAGGCGCCCATAGAGATAGGCGCCCGTAGAGATAGGCGCCCATAGAGATAGGCGCCCATAGAGATAGGCGCCCATAGAGATAGGCGCCCCTAGAGATAGGCGCCCCTAGAGATAGGCGCCCATAGAGATAGGCGCCCATAGAGATAGGCGCCCATAGAGATAGGCGCCCATAGAGATAGGCGCCCATAGAGATAGGCGCCCCTAGAGATAGCCGCCCAGAGATAGGCGCCCTAGAGATAGGCGCCCCTAGAGATAGGCGCCCCTAGAGATAGGCGCCCCTAGAGATAGGCGCCACTAGAGATAGGCGCCCCTAGAGATAGGCGCCCCTAGAGATAGGCGCCCATAGAGATAGGCGCCCCTAGAGATAGGCGCCCCTAAAGATAGGCGCCCATAGAGATAGGCGCCCATAGAGATAGGGCCCCTAGAGATAGGCGCCCTAGAGATAGGCGCCCATAGAGATAGGCGCCCATAGAGATAGGCGCCCATAGAGATAGGCGCCCTAGAGATAGGCGCCCTAGAGATAGGCGCCCATAGAGATAGGCGCCTATAGAGATAGGCGCCCTAGAGATAGGCGCCCCTAAGAGAAGCGCCATAGAGATAGGCGCCCATAGAGATAGGCGCCCCTAGAGATAGGCGCCCTTAGAGATAGGCGCCCATAGAGATAGGCGCCCTAGAGATAGGCGCCCATAGAGATAGGCGCCCCTAGAGATAGGCGCCCATAGAGATAGGCGCCCATAGAGATAGGCGCCCCTAGAGATAGGCGCCCCTAGAGATAGGCGCCCATAGAGATAGGCGCCCAAAGAGATAGGCGCCCATAGAGATAGGCGCCCATAGAGATAGGCGCCCATAGAGATAGGCGCCCCTAGAGATAGGCGCCCATAGAGATAGGCGCCCCTAGAGATAGGCGCCCCTAGAGATAGGCGCCCCTAGAGATAGGCGCCCATAGAGATAGGCGCCCATAGAGATAGGCGCCCATAGAGATAGGCGCCCTAGAGATAGGCGCCCAAAGAGATAGGCGCCCCTAGAGATAGGCGCCCCTAGAGATAGGCGCCCCTAGAGATAGGCGCCCTAGAGATAGGCGCCCTAGAGATAGGCGCCCTAGAGATAGGCGCCCCTAGAGATAGGCGCCCCTAGAGATAGGCGCCCATAGAGATAGGCGCCTCTAGAGATAGGCGCCCCTAGAGATAGGCGCCCATAGAGATAGGCGCCCATAGAGATAGGCGCCCCTAGAGATAGGCGCCCTTAGAGATAGGCGCCCATAGAGATAGGCGCCCCTAGAGATAGGCGCCCATAGAGATAGGCGCCCATAGAGATAGGCGCCCCTAGAGATAGGCGCCCCTAGAGATAGGCGCCCATAGAGATAGGCGCCCAAAGAGATAGGCGCCCATAGAGATAGGCGCCCCTAGAGATAGGCGCCCATAGAGATAGGCGCCCCTAGAGATAGGCGCCCATAGAGATAGGCGCCCCTAGAGATAGGCGCCCTAGAGATAGGCGCCCCTAGAGATAGGCGCCCCTAGAGATAGGCGCCCTAGAGATAGGCGCCCATAGAGATAGGCGCCCAAAGAGATAGGCGCCTCTAGAGATTGGCGCCCCTAGAGATAGGCGCCCATAGAGATAGGCGCCCATAGAGATAGGCGCCCCTAGAGATAGGCGCCCCTAGAGATAGGCGCCTATAGAGATAGGCGCCCCTAGAGATAGGCGCCCATAGAGATAGGCGCCCCTAGAGATAGGCGCCCATAGAGATAGGCGCCCATAGAGATAGGCGCCCCTAGAGATAGGCGCCCCTAGAGATAGGCGCCCATAGAGATAGGCGCCCAAAGAGATAGGCGCCCTTAGAGATAGGCGCCCATAGAGATAGGCGCCCATAGAGATAGGCGCCCATAGAGATAGGCGCCCCTAGAGATAGGCGCCCATAGAGATAGGCGCCCCTAGAGATAGGCGCCCCTAGAGATAGGCGCCCAAAGAGATAGGCGCCATAGAGATAGGCGCCCCTAGAGATAGGCGCCCCTAGAGATAGGCGCCCCTAGAGATAGGCGCCCCTAGAGATAGGCGCCCCTAGAGATAGGCGGCCCTAGAGATAGGCGCCCCTAGAGATAGCCGCCCTAGAGATAGGCGCCCCTAGAGATAGGCGCCACTAGAGATAGGCGCCCCTAGAGATAGGCGCCCCTAGAGATAGGCGCCCCTAGAGATAGGCGCCCCTAGAGATGGGCGCCCATAGAGATAGGCGCCTCTAGAGATAGGCGCCCCTAAAGATAGGCGCCCATAGAGATAGGCGCCCATAGAGATAGGCGCCCCTAGAGATAGGCGCCCCTAGAGATAGGCGCCCATAGAGATAGGCGCCCCTAGAGATAGGCGCCCATAGAGATAGGCGCCCATAGAGATAGGCGCCCATAGAGATAGGCGCCCCTAGAGATAGGCGCCCAAAGAGATAGG